AAATGTAGACCCAGTTTTCTTTGTAGACCCAGTTTTTGCTTATCGATTTTCAAGCTGATTTCGAGGGAAAGTATTACTACCATATACTATTCGACTTATGAGGACGTGCTAAGTCTAACTAAAATCATTTTGAACCATTTGAAAGCTATTTCTAGCAAAACATACGATTTTATATTTTGACATTTCTCGCGACTTTTTTTCGTGTATTTCGATTTCTGTGAGTGTCATTAACTTACCCGATTTGAGATATATATAACGATATGTCACACATGGGCTTTAGAGTCATATTTGGCGCTATTCCTCTTTAAAAAGTATTTTTCTCGAAAAATCGAAATTGAGACTAGAATATCTCAGCCAAGGCGAGTCGGGGAGTTTGAAAATTTTTACCACAAACTCAGTGAAGGACGAGGAACAAAATGTACGAAACAAATTTTCTCTAGAAGCACTTTCATTTTTTTTTGTAAATTGTACAAAAAAGTTACGATTCACTCTTATATTGCTGACTTTTGAAACATAGAAGGCAAACGTATTCTTTTCTATTGCAGTGCTGGTTAACATGCTTATTTTATTTTCTCATTCACACAACATTCCTATAGATTTCAAATGTATGATCGCACGTATCTAAAAATACATGTTGAAAAAGTCTTGGTATTCATTGCATTATTTAAAATTTCACGATGATAATGATAATTTATTAACAAAATCAATTATTTTATTTCTGATATTTTTATTTTTGAAATTTCTAACAGCATCAAAGCACTTTTCTCATAATAGTTTCTACTTTGATATCTGAACGATACTTAAGATTATGGAATTCTGTATAATTTTTATGAAGTTAATATTTACATTAAACGAAGGAAATTTCAATAATCAAAAACTACATCGATTTTCACTGAAATATCCACTATTTTCTTGAATTTATTTCAAGATACACGATAAATTATTTTTTCAGTATATGCTTTGATCATGTCATGATATATTCTATCATACAAAAGACGAAATACTTATGAAATAAACGGTTTGTGTTGAGTGTCATGCATAGTTGATTATCGATCTGTCATATTCCGTCTAATATGAATACCTTGTACACTGAAAATTTTCTTTATCATCCTTTTTCGTCTACTCAAAGGTCAATATTTACATTGTTGCTATTGCTATGTATAATCCTTCTTCCTAGCACTCATATTTAAAATCAACTTGGAGAAAAAAAGGCGAAAAAACATAACACAAAGTGTTGTCAGATTGTAAAATGTAAAAAGCAAACCATTTGAAAAAAAAGCAAGTGCACAACAGGAGTAACTGAAATTTTTATTTTCAATAATACATTGCAACTTTCAAGGACACTTCGATTTCCAACATTTCACTGTGGTGAGTAAATTTTTGGGGTGAGTGTGGGTGTTGAACTCAACAAAGTCATAGATTTACACCCAGGCACATAATCAACTCAAATTTTTGTTCAGTGGGTCTCATTAAAAACAAATGTTACAGTTCGATAGATTTTTGCATTTCTGATTATGAGGGAAAAGCTAATATCGTAGATTTTCTTCTTAGTTTTCAATCGAAAAATTCTACCGATCAATTTATTCACAATTTTAAATATTAAATTTCAAAAAAACATTAATGGCTGCAAAATTTGTCGATTTCGATGAAGAAAAACATACACAACGTTTTTCTGATATAGCGGGAGAACCTTGCCGAATGTTAATGCCTATTCAAGGCTATGAGAAAAAGCCTCTTGTTTCGCTCGAAGAGGCCGTAGAACCCATTGTTGAATATGTACCTGATGTGAAACGAATGGTCTACGTTTCTAAAATGAAATGTGCAGAGCTTTCTCCAGGAAAACTATCCATTGACGAAGCAGCCTCAATTACACTCTACTCAATGGAATGGGAGCCGCAAGACGAATGTCTTTACTATGTTTTGAATCAAACTCTACGAAATGAAAATCGACAAAAATTAAAACCTTGGTTTTTGTTTCTTCGATTGATTCTTACTGCATTGGCTCAACTCCCTTCAATAACTTCGAATGTTTATCGTGGTGTTAAGCGAGACATGCGAAAAGAATACCCCGAAGGAAAAACATTTGTCTGGTGGGGATTCAGTTCTTGTACATCCAAGCTAAATGTACTACAGAACGAACAGTTTTTGGGTAAAACAGGCCCAAGAACATTCTTTACGATTGAATGTGATAGTGGCAAGGATATTCGAAAATATTCTTCGATTCAAAACGAACACGAAATTCTTCTACTAGCTGCAAGGCAATTTCGAGTCGAGGGATGCCTCAGTCAAGGAAAAGATTTCTACATGATACAACTCAAAGAAATTCAGCCACCATTTCCACTGATTGAACCGGTACCAAAAGTAATCATTGTCATTTATTACACATTTACCAATACGCATGATTCTGTTTTTTTTCCTTCTAGCCGTCACCAGCACCAGCACCAGCACCAAGACCATTACCGCCACGACCAACTCCCATGTAACCTTTCTTTTCTTTTCTTTTTTTTATCACAGACACAATAATACTTAATCATCTATTCTTTTTTATTTGCAATTTTAGTGTACCAAATCCACCCATTCAACCAAAAGGTAGGAATAAATCTTGAGGGTGTGGGTGTAGGTGCGCGTATGGGTGCTAGTATTAGTGTGGGTATGAATTTAGTACGTTTTGAAGTCAAAATCTTTACTTTTTCTCATAAATTGAGCCCAGAAAAAATAAAATTTTAATTTCCCCTGTAACATATATGTGGAATTCACTTTCATGTAAAATTAGTGCTGATAATGACTTTTTGAACAAGATCGAAAACTTCGCAATATTTTTGAATAAAATAAGTAAAATGTTTGATGAGTTAGTTTACCAAGAAAACAGTATAGCACATTTTTATGATTTAACCAACTGCTTCATAAATCTTGAGCCACGAGTAATATTTTTGCTCATGGCTCAGTATATACGTTTACAGACAACATTTTAGTAAGAAGCATTCATATATATAATTGATTACCAATTTGTATTAGTTTTTAATTCACTAATTAAACAATGTTCTGTTTTGAACTTAAAAATAATCTTAACATATAGCAAGAAAGTTAGAAAAAAAGTATCGAAATTGTGGTTATTACTTTTCAAACTGTAAAAAAAGACATAAAATTTAAAATTTTGACAAAATCGTTATATTTTGAAGGGCAACTTTTTCCTTTTTCAATAGATGCGTTTCCCATCATTATTAGGTTACTATTTTCAAGTACTTCGTCAATCCGAAATGATGAACTAGAAAAGTACAGAGCAAGGCTGGAAAGCGTAACATATATCAATTATTTCTCAAAGCCTAGTTTATATGAAATTCTCACACAGCGTCCTTCAATGAATAATAATCTACTAGTTGAAACAAATTCTAGTCTTTACACTGAACGACGAACAAAAATGTAGTGATTCGTTCTTGATTAGCAAAAGATTGGCATCCACTAAAAATGCACTGTAGTCATGTCTGATTGAAAAATATTTCTAACATAAACAGGGATCCCGATTAAGGGAGGGGGGGGGGCTGTGGGGGGCCCTCCCCCCACA